TACTGTAATCCAACAGGCCCCGTGTCCTGGTCCGCGCGATCGGCCACCCGAACTGGCGAGGGTCCAAGACGCACCAGTCAATGTGGTAGATATCGCCGAGCAGCTCGTCCAGCAACGCCGTCGGGAACGCCTCCACGTTCTCCTGGTCGATCTCGGGCTCCTGCAGGAGGCGGCGGAGAGCGCGCCAGGCCAGCGTGTCAACGACCGATGCGTGGCCGATGCCTCGCGCTGGCCTTGCGCCGAGTGCGCCTTGCAGCTCGTGCCGATGGAGAGAGGTACGACGCGACGCGACGGGCGATGAGGACCATCGCGCGCCGCGTCGCGACGTCGAGTCGAGACGTCGACTCGGTCGCAGGCGATCACGGTCATCGCGGCGGCCGCAGTCGGCCACGGCCATCGGTGCGATGGCAGTGGCCGAATACGGCCACAACGGCGACACGAGTCTCGAGACGCCGACCGACGCATGAGGAGGTGAGGGGAGAAAGAAGATGGAGTGCCCGCAGTGTGATGGCGGGCAACACGGAGACCACACCGCCGGCGGTGGCGGACACAGTAGGCAGTGCGACAGACCGCGGTGCCCTGTTTGATGACGGGCGTGAGAACCTGCGGTGGAATGCCCACGCATGTAGGACGGAGGAGGGAAGGAGATAGATACATCGGTGGTACCATATTTCCAAACGACATCACGGATCGGATGGACGGCCGAAGCTGGGAAGCGGCGATCCACTGACAGGCATGGTGTGGAGCGGATGCTGATTGTGGGGCGGAGTGGGGGGGGGGAGGAGGAAGAGGGGGAGGAGGAGGGTGAGGAGGAGTAGGAGGAGGGGGGTGAGGAGGAGGAGGCATGGGATGAGGAGGAGGATGCGAATGGGGGGGTGGGATGTTGCGCAGACGGTGTTTTCGCTACCAACGAAAACAACGTCTGCGCAACCACATCGGGGGGAGGGCGATGGGCAGGCGGGTCCACAGGGAGGGGTGGGGCGGGTGGCGTGGGGCTGATGAGGAGAGGGAGAGAGAGAGAGAGAGAGAGAGAGAGAGAGAGAGAGAGAGATAGTGAGATAGAGAGAGAGGTGGGAGGTGCGTAGAGTGAGATGGCGAGAGGGAGCCTGCACCGCGCGGTCGGGCATGACGCGCAGGTGACGCACGGTCGACTGCAGCTCGGGCACCCAGAACTGCGAGATGTCACCGAAGAGGCACCCGTCGGATTCCTCTGCCGCGGGGAGAGGGGGGGGTGATAGGGGAAGAGGACAAGAGCGTGATCGGTCAGTGAATCAGTCAGCACCACCACTATCGTCACCAAGTCATCCTCACCATTCCTTCATATCACATTATCATCGTGCTCGTGACCATCCGCCGGGGTGGGGACATGGTTGGAGGAGCAGTCCTCCAGGATGATGGACAGCTCGCGCTGGCACTCGGCGTCCCACTCGATCGCGTAGAGCAGCTGCGGCTTCCGGAACGAGCGGTTCAGGCGGTCGGACAGGGCCCTGTGCAGCATGGTGATAGCACATTCTGGCGCCCCAATGCCAGAATACGCAGTCGAACGGGTGTCAGTCTCCATTGCCGAGGCAAGGGCATCCAGCAGCTCCTCGCCGTCGGTGGATTCGATCTCCGCGAGCGCATCCGACGCCCACTCGAAGGAGTCCTGGAGGTCCCTGCACACGCGGCGGTCCTGCCTGACGTAGTCGACATACGCTGCATCGGGTGAGGCCGCTGGCGCTGGCTGCACATCGGTGTCGCACCCCGAGCGGGCGAAGTCGTCAGTGGGGGCGACCATGCTGCTGCTGCCACGCGGAGCTGTGATCGACTGGGACCCGTCGCGCGGGCGGCGGGGCCGCCGCGGTGCGCCATGGGGATGGGGCGGCGGACGTAGCGACTGCGCGGCCTCCATGCGTGGTGACACTGCAGCATGCTGCGCAGGATCGGCTGCGCCAGGAGCTGACGTGGCAACTGGTGTGGAGGTGACCTTGGCCTTGGCCCTGGCCGTGGCGGGCCTGGCCTTGGACGCGGCCTTGGCAACTGTGGCTGCAACCTTCGAGCGCGGCAAGGCGCTGCGAGCTAGATACGCAGCAAGAGGCGCGTCGTCGTCGTCGTCGATGTGGGTCGTGGCATGGGCCGCGGTGGGCACGGCTGCAGCGGCGCCGAGTGCAGCCGCATCAACATCATCGGCACTGCATGCGTCGCCCTCCGGACGGCAGTCGACTGCAGGTTGCAGACCAGCACGTGCAACAGGTACAGGTACATCAGGATCGGGTGGGTTCCCAGGTGATCCACGAACGACCGTGCACGGCGTAGCATGCGCAGGAGAACCAGTGCCAGCGACCACGGTTGCAGGTGCACCAGGAGCAGGTGCATCATCACCAGCTTGACCAGACGATGGTGTACGAGGTGCAGGTGTACCAGCGGCACCATCCACTGCATGTGGTACAGGAGCTGATGATGTCACCATCGCCGTACTCGAGTCCACATCCACAGGCGCCACCGACGCAGACGCACCACATGCGACGTCACGATCACGGGTGGCGGACGCAGGCGGCGATGATGATGCTGCTGCTGGAGTGGGCGTCGGCACCGCTGCAGCTGCGGGAGAGCGGGCACTAGGATCTGACGGGCGGGCTAACAGCTCGGCTGCGGCATCCGCCCCCAGGTCTCTCCACGTCGACTTGCAGCGGCGACTGCTGCGACTGCTGCAGCAGCGGCGACTGCTGCGACTGCGGCAGCGATACATCGACATCGGCGGACACGCGATGCACGGCGCACGGCGTGGATGGCGCAACAGTTTCATCAGCAACAGCAGCAGCAGCGGGTCTTGGTAGATCCGGATGATGATGCTCGTCGGGTGGAGGCGGCGGCGGGAGGCGAGATGCCCGACGCCGTCGAGCCTCCTGGCGCTTCTCCTCGATGATGCGGAGCTGCTCTGCGGTGAGTGCACGAGACCCAGTAGATGACGGGGCCGACATCGCGGTCTGACAGGAGTCCGCCGTAGGAGGTGGCATGGCTGACGGCGCAGCAGGGCTGCTCGACGGTGGTGGCGGCTGCGATGGTGTACTCGGCGACGAGGCCGATGCGCATGGCACAGGCGGGGCCTCAGCTGCAGCGGCGGGGTCGCTGGATCGGACCACGCCCGACGGCGCTGCTGTCGAACTGCAGCCAGCGCCAGCGGCCTCCATTGCAGCGATTGCAGCGTTGGCGGCGGCCAGCTCGGCATGCTCGGTGGCGGACGGTGATGCAGCGGGCGGCGCTGACGCGCACTCGTCTCCATCTCCATCATCAACTGAAATAACTGTAGATGGAGCTGGAGACAGGCCCACCACATCCACAGCGGTGCGCTTCAGCTCACGCCAGATCTGCCTATCCCCGTGCATCATGTCGGCGGTGATACCGCCATCGCCGAACAGCGCAGTCATACCATCGCGGGACACCAGCCCGAAGCTCTTCGCCAGCGATGGTGACGATGGAGCTGGCGATGCCTTCGGCATGACGACGCCCGTCGGGTGAACGCGGTCCGATGGCTGCTCAGCTCCAGCAACCACGTCGCTGTCAGCAGTGCCGGACCTGCGTGTGGCCTTGGCTCGGGACTTACTGGCAGCCTTGCCAGTCGCTGTGCGAGGACATCGACGCGGCTCCGATGTCGGGGTCGCGCTGCGCTTGCCCATGCTAGCAAGCCTGTACGATTAAGCCAAAATGGCTACGGAAGTGTATGTTGGCGTGCAGCCTCATGTTCATTATTGCAGCAGTGTAGTCTTCAACGCCGCGAGCATGAGAGCCCCGTGGGCCCCGACATCCCATCGAGCCCGTAGGCCCAGACATCTCACCGATGGTGACATATGTGTGACACGAAACCACACCCGCCCGCCACGCCATTTGGTATATATAGAAATATTTATCAGAGTGAGGGGGCCGAACGGTCATTCACTGTCCCTGGGTGCGTGGCTGACGTTGGATTCCGCGGTGCGGAGTCGTGTTGGTGTTGTTGTTGTCGTTGGAGATCATTTTTTTATTCCGGCCGGTAACGCTCGTTACCCGGGGGGGGGGGGGGGTCGTGCCCCCCGGGTAACGGTAACGCTTGGGCTGGGCGGGGCATGGCGAAGCAGGGGCGCTCTGCGATCGCCATAGTATGCGCGCGAGCAGCACTCTCTGCCTGAGAGCACCACAGTGGCTTGCGATTCGAGTACAAGCGCAAAGCCCGCCGCGTGGTCCCGGCACCACGCCCGCGCCCGCGCGCGCGACGACGATGATCGACGAGCGACGAGCGACGAGGTCGACGACGACGACGACGACGTTTGCCGCCTGTTTCGGCCTCCGGAGGCCGTTTTCGGGCGCCGTCGACGACGACGACGACGACGACGACGACGACGACGACGACGACGACGACGACGACGACGATTCGAGTACAAGCGCAAAGCCCGCAAGCACCAGCATCGCGCATGCGAGCGCCGCAATGGCCTGCGAGCGCCCACAGTGCGCCTGCGACCACCACACCACAGTGCGCATGCCTTCGGGCACCAGCATGTTGGAGGGGAAGACCGAGACCCCCCCCGCGTACGAGCGTTACCGTTACGGGGGGGGGGGGGGGGGAGAGGCCCGGGTAACGAGCGTTACCCCCCCCCAGAGGATATAAAAAACAATCTCTTGTTGTTTCTTGTTGGTGTTGTTTGTTATATATCACGATATTCATACTACATGCATGTAGACACAGCTGTGCAGAGGATGCAACGCATTTCCGATCTCGATCATTCTGGCAACGGGGCGGAGGATGATGATGGTGGAGGAGGGCGAGTCATGAGGATGCTCCTCGGTCACTTGGTACGTGCAATGGCATGCGCGTGCCCCCCCCCCCCCCCCCCTGGGGCAAAGTGCTGCCTGTCCCCCTCCGCGGGAGGCGAGGCGAGCGAAAGGGCTGAACAGCCCGATGGGGGAGAATCAATAGTGTAAAGAAACGACCAGGCGGCCGTCCAGGCAGCATCTCACGGCAGCATCGCCCCTCATTGCGGGCCATCCATCTCGTAGCCGCCGATATCGGAGCCCACGTGGTTGAAGCCCTCGATCAGGTCGCCCCGCTCGTCGCGCCCGTGGTTGGGTTCCGTGGTCGGCAACAGGAGCGCGACATACCAGAGATTGCGCCACGCCATGTCGTTGCTCTTCAGCGCCTGGCCCTTGCAGTGCCCCTTCGAGTTGCGGTAGATCCTCACCTGGTTGCAACGGTCGCGCCCGCTCGGCAAAGCCAATTGCGACACGATGCACTTCTTCAAGGCCAACACCCTCGCCCCATGGCCGTCGTGTTTCGGGTCGAGCAGCCGAGGGTTTGGAACCGCGACTGGCGGCCACTCCCCCGTCTCCTGGATCTTCACCTGGAACATCAAGTGCGGTTCGATGTCGAGTCCCTACGTCACGCACAGCATCGACGGCGCCGGCCCTGGCGACTCGCCGCCACCCTCACTGACTGGCGGCGGTGACAACATGACGTCGGGCCCCTGCAGCGTGGCGATCAGCTTCGTCTTGGTGAAGTTCGCGAGCACGTACTCGTCCCACATCTCGAACAGCACATCTGACGGGTCGTCCGAGCCCAATGAGTAGATGTGGACATCAGAGCCACGGTAGAACGAATAATCCCGCTTGATCGCCTCCTTGATCATTACCACCTCGACGCCGTTCTGCCACGATGGGTTGGTGCCAGCCTCTGCCAGGCAAGGTGCCCAGCTGTCGAACTCCTTGAAGAAGATGCTGAGCTTGTTCAGGCCGCGGACCGAACCAGTGACCTCGATGAACGCGGTGGCGGTGGTGGCCTCCATCACGGCGTGCGACCACGACAGCCGAAGGTGTCGGGTGTCGGCTCGGGCGTCGGGGCTGGCCGTCGGGCTGGGCTCTCGAGCCAAAATGGCTGTCCGGACCGACGGTGTGTTGGTGTGTGTGGATGGACCCCAAACAGTGAGTGCGTGTCTACCAGCGTGGACCCCAAACAGAGAGTCTATTGTGTTCTACCAGCGTGGATCCCAGACAGTGAGTTCATGTCTACATAGCGGGCCCTCCTGTCATGCGATGCCTGACGTGACTCGTATCATGACATAACATGTCTATCACACATCATCTCCTACCATGTGTGCATGACACACCGCCATCACTCCACATATACATGGGGTCTATGTCAGGAGGTACCTCCTGACACGATAGTCCGTGTCAGGAGGCACCTCCTGACGGAAGGGTTCGTCAGGAGGCACCTCCTGACGGGAGGGCCACTGTCAGGAGGCACCTCCTGATGGGATAGCCCCTGTCAGGAGGCACCTCCTGACGGGATGACCCGTGTCAGGAGGCACTTCCTGACGTGTGGGCCTGCCAGGAGGCACCTCCTGACGGGATGATCCCTGTCAGGAGGCACCTCCTGATGAGATGCTCCCTGCCAGGAGGCACCTCCTGACGGGAGTGCCTCCGTCAGGAGGCACCTCCTGACGGGATCGTACCTGTCAGGAGACACCTCCTGACGAAATGCATCTGTCAGGAAGCAACTCCCGACGGACGGGTCACTGTCAGGATACACCTCCTGACGGACATGTCCCTGTCAGGAGACACCTCCTGACGGGACGGTCCCTGTCAGGAGACGCCTCCTGACGAGTAGGTTCTTGTCAAGAGACGCCTCCTGACGGGATGGTCTATGTCAGGAGGTGTCTCCTGACATGCAGGTATATGTCAGAGGAGGTACCTCCTGGCACGATATCCCGTGTCAGGAGGCACCTCCTGACGTAAGGGTTTGTCAGGAGGCACCTCCTGACGGTAGGGCCACTGTCAGGAGGCATCTCCTGACGGAAGGGTCCTGTCAGGAAGCACCTGCAAGGGTGGGGAGGGGGTGCATGTCAGGAGGCACCTCCTGGCGTGCGGGCATGTCAGGAGGCACCTCCTGACGGGATGATCCCTGTCAGGATGCACCTCCTGATGGGAGGGTTCCTGTCAGGAGGCACCTCCTGACGGGAGTGCATCTGTCAGGAGGCACCTCCTGACGTGGGTGGGTGGTGGAGAGAGTCACTGTCAGGATGCACCTTCTGGCGAGATCGTACCTGTCAGGAGGCACCTCCTGACGGGAGGGCCTGTCAGGAGGGACCTCCTGACGGGATGGTATCTGTCAGGAGGCACCTCCCAACGGACATGTCTCTGTCAGGAGGCACCTCCTGACGGGACGGTCCATGTCAGGAGGCACCTCCTGACGAGCAGGTCCATGTCAGGAGCCGCCTCCTGACGGTATGGTCTCTGTCAGGATGCGCATCCTGACGCGCATTTCTATGTCAGGAGCTACCTCCTGACACGAGAGTCTATGTCAGGAGGCGCTTCCTGACGGGAGGGTCTGTAAGGGTGGTTTTGCCAAGATAGAGATCATGATGTGCGGTATGCGTCAGGAGATGCCTATTGACAGCTGGGTTATGTCAGGATGTAATTCCTGACATGTGTGGCACGGCAAGAAATGGTTCCTGACATATGTTGTACGTCAGGAGATACCTCCTGACAGAGAGGTTCCGTCAGGAGGCACGTCTTGACGTGTAGGGTATGTCAGGAGGCACTTCGTGACAGAAAGGCACTGTCAGGAGGTACTTCCTGTCATAGGGTGTATGGCAGGATGTATGTCATGACAGGTAGGATACGTCAGGAGGCGCTTCCTAACGACAACCCTATGTCAGGATATGCTTCTTGACGTGATCGCTACGTCAGGAGGCACTTCCTCACATAACATATATTGTCAGGAGGCACCTCCTGACGGGGATGATGTGTCAGGAAGTGCTTCCTGACAGATGTGACCCGTCAGGAGGTGTATCATGCCAATACTATATCGTCATGAAGCGCCTCCTGACGACACCAATCCGTCAGGAGGTGCTTCCCGACGGGATGATCATGTCAGGAGGTGGTGCCTGACATACATATCGTGTCAGGATATGCCTCCTGACAGAGTCGGTCCGTCGGGAGGTGCTTCCTGACGGGTGTGGTCCGTCAGGAGGTGCCTCGTGACGCTGATACATCGTCAGGAAACGCTTCCTGACGGTGCCCCTATGTCAGGAGGTGGTTCCTGACGGAACCGCTAAGTTAGGAAATATCCTATGGTGTAATCGTACGTGTCAGGAGGTGCTTCCTGACAGATGCGATATGTCAGGAGGTACCTCCTGACAGGACGGCATCGTCAAGAAGTGCTTCCTGACGGGTGGTGCGTGTCATGAGGTAACTCCTGACATGTGAGATCTGTCAGGAGGCACCGCCTGACAGAATGCAGTCCGTCAAGACTCCCCATCCTGACACACACAGCTTGTCAGGAGGCACCTCCTGACGGACCACACCCGTCAGGAAGCACCTCCTGACGGACCGACTCTGTGAGGAGGCACATCCTGACACGATATGTATGTCAAGCACCACCTCCTGACATGACCATCCCGTCAGGAAACACCTCCTGACGGATTGGTGTCGTCAGGAGGCGCGCCCTGACGATATAGCATTGGCAGGAGACACCTCCTGACGGTTCGCATCTGTCAGGAAGCACTTCCTCACGACAATGTGTCGTCAGGAACCACCTCTTGTCGCAACGACTCTGTCGACAACCACGTCTTGACGACGCGGGTGTGTCAGGAGGTCATTCCTGACAGATGTGATACATCAGAAACTGCTTCTTGACAGATGCGGTGTGTCAGGAGGCACCTCCTGACAGCGAGGGCACGTCAGGAGGTAATTCCGGACAGGTAGGTTCTGACAGGAGACGCAGCATGTCACAAATATACTGTCAGGAGGTAGGTCCTGTCAGACGGCACATGACTATACATGTATATGTCGTGATTCCTGATGACACCCCTGTGTCAGGAGGTGCTTCCTGACGGAAACGATCCGTCAGGAGATACCCACTGATGGTAACCTTGTCAGGATGTGCTTCCTCACAGTACCCACTGCATCAGGATGTACCCCCTGGCATACACCTCCTGTCAGGGGGTCCCTCCTGACGGGTGTGGTGCTGGGAGGAGGCGGTTCCTGACGGTACCCCTGTAAGGATGCGAGATACGCCATGACGGTACCCCATGTCAGGAGGTGCTTCCTGACATAACCAGTGCGTCAGGATGTACCTCCTGTGAGGCACCTACTGGCAGGAGGTACCTCCTGACGGGGAGGGAAGGCTGTGAGGATGCGGTTCCTGACATATGTGATCTGACAGGGTGTACCTCATGACAAGGCTGAGCCGTCAGGAAATGATTCCTGGCAGGAGGTACACGTCAGGGAGTGTGTCCTGACATGCACGATCAGTCAGGAGGTGACTCCTGACGTAACCGATACGACAGGAAGTCATTCCTGACAGGCGTAGCATGTCAGGAAGTACCTCCTGACAGAAGCGGACATGTCATGAAGTGCGTCCTGACAGAGGGGATCCGTCAGGAGGTGCATCCCGACAGGAATATAGCGTCAGGAAATAATTCCTGACAGGTGGCGCTCGTCAGTAAGTGGTTCCTGACATATGCGATCCGTCAGGAGGCGCTTCCTGACAGGGGAATGGCCGTCACGACTGGCGACGGCCCATCCGCGCACACCCCGCACCCCCCCCCTCCCCCCCCCATCCTCCCGGCGCGTGCTCTGTCGTAGTCACCCCAATGGACCGCTACGACTCGTAACTCATAGTGGTCCATCGGGGTGGACTCTGCGTGTGATCGGGTGCACGTGTGACCCCCGAGAGCTCAGAGGACCATCGCACCAACGCCATACTCAGTACCATACTCTGCTCTCGCTCGGACATTGACGGCGTGACGTCGCATCGATGTCGCTGATGTGCTCGCCATATACCAACGTCAGTACATGCCACCCACTGTCAGTCAGTATGTGTCACGCGCCTGTCGGTCGCATTGCGATTCGCGGATGTGGGCCATGCTGCGGTCATCTTGATGATGACAGGGTTGCATCAGAGGAGCAGCGGCCGAGGCTGTGCATCGATGTGGGTGGTCGAACGTGCTCGAATAGGGATGCTTGTCATGATCGATTGATGATATGATGATGTGTCCCCTCGCCCACCCCGCTGACCACCCCCACCCCTCCCTCCCACGTCTATATATGCCACTATCCTCGCCCCGCCTCCCCGTGCCCACCCTGCTCCTATCACTACTATAACAGACACATCGAGGGGCACACGCGGGTCTGATGTTCTCACCGACTGCCCCACCTCCTCACCTGAGCGTGTCACGCGCGTAATTTCCTGATCACTGCACGCCGATATCGCTGTGCTACGCTGTTTGGGCCGCCACCTGTCATGTATCAGATGTCGTGTGTTACCGCATGCGCACATTGTGCGCCACCCACATTGGTTTAGGACTTAGACACTTAGACGCTCAGACTCACGCTTCCGGATGGATATGACACCCCACGACCCGTCATGCTGGCGCATGCACAGCACACCACACATTCTGAAATTCTGTATCACAGGCTGCACATCCTCACGTATACGTATGCTGTCAGGATGCGGTCCTGGAGACCCGCCTGACATGCATCGCACACTGTCAACACCATCCCTGTCAGGATGTGCCCCTGACCGATCACAGCTGTCAGGGTGCACCTCATGTCGCACCATCCCCGCCTTGTGGGACCTCATATACTTGCCCCCCCGCGGTGCGCACACACACACACACCCCGCCCCAACATCGATGTGTCATCATGCTGTATCTCATGTCACAACAGCCACACACGCACCCTCCAGTGACATCTACGTACAGTCGGGAATTGCTGCCTGACGACTACAACCCGTCACGATGCGATTCTTGATGCTACCACTATGACAGGACTGACTTCTCGA